CACCTTGGGTTGATCGCCATCCACCTAGAAAATCTAAGAAGAACCAATACTCCCAAACTTTTGCTTCTTATTGTTAGAGGCATTCAACGGTAGTAGTGCCAACACAATAGAGTACACTACAGATTTTCATACATAAATGTCATTGTATGGTACTTTAAATGCTTTGATGTGCCACACCTTCTTGACCACATTAAAAACCCAGTACGAGAATGATTTGCCTACGTGAAGCTGCTTTCCATCATTTCTTTTGCATAGCTTACAAAGGAGTTCAAACTTCACTTTCTAGGGAACGTACACCCGAGATCACCGACAATGATACTTCTCGGACTTAGGCAAGGGGAGGAGAAGATGTTGGTAGACTTCATCATATGCTTCACTAATGAAATATAATGCATGGTAGATGCCCACTCATCGCTTATAATATATATCTTGGGCCTTAAGCCCTCTCGTCTTTTATAGTTATTAGTGGAAAGACCACCGACGATAATGCCAAATGTACTTCAAAGGACTAATCAATATATTACCATCGAGATAATGATATTCAATAAGCATGAGGAGTCACACAAGAGGTCAAAGCAAGAGTCGTCACAATCCGTCCCGACCCCGAGGTCATCGTGACGAAAGAGGAATGAACGACCTGAGTTGCCTTACATAAGGTCCAAGCCAACACCCTTGAATATATCTAGAACTAATTTTTTTTACAAATAAAAGAGAATGAGCTCTTAAAAGACCCTTATCTGATGAAGACTCTATTGGCGAAAAAAGATAAGTCTAAATACTATCGATTCTATCGAGATTACGGTCACAATACATAAGATTGTCATGACTTGAAAGAGCATATTGAATAACTTATACATTGGGTATACCTCGGGCAGTTCATCTGAAAGCGTTGAGAACCCTCACCCCAATATCAGTGACTAGTGGCAAGACAAATTGACATCATCGGTGGCCCATCTCAGAGGAAGACAACTCCTCGAGTCAGAAAGCTTATACTCGAGCTATCATTGAAAAATGCCCAAGAACACAGGGCAACCTAGAGATAGCCTTCAAGGAGGAAGAGATGAAGTACATCGACCCAAACCACGATGATGCCTTGATTGTTTCTATAATGATGATCAATGCTCAAGTGAAGAGGGTCATGATCAATATAGGTAGCTCTGTCAAAATTCTCTACTTTGATGTTTTTCAAAAACTTAAGCTCTAAACTAATGACCTTACCCCTATGACTTCTTCATTGATGGGATTCACATGTGATTCTATCTCCTTTCTTGAGATTGTGAACCTGCACATCACATTCAGAGATGATTCTTGCTCCAAAATAATACTAACTAGATTTTCTATAATATTTCGTTGGCATACAACACAATTATAGGTTGACCCATGCTGAATAGACTGAGAGTAGGGGTGTCGATTTTTCACATGGTGATGAAGTTTCTAATGAGAAGTAATATTAGGGAGCTAAGAAACAACATGAGGGAATCATGCTAGTGTTACTTGATGGCGATCTCCATACCAAAGAAAGTTTGCTCTGAGGCATCACCTATGAACCCCCGAGACTTTACTAAGTCCGCCATCATATCCTATACTAGTGGATCCGTTGATTGAAGCATCAATAAACAAAGCTTAACCAAATCGAGTTGTCAAGATCAAGGTGGCACTTTTCAAGTAGAGACGGGTGCAACTCATTAACTTCCTTTGGGAAAACATCGAGGTGTTTGCGTAGTCACCGAGAGATATATTGGGGATCGACCCCAACATAGCTCAGTATCACTTGAATATTGCTCTTGAGGCATGACCAGTGAAGTAAAAGCCTCACAAGTTTGCTACTGATCGCCAATACACAATTAATAATGAGGTAGACAAGTTGTTAAAAGCATAGTTTAATTTCGAGGTGTAGTAAACCCGTTGGCTCGCCAATATTATACTTGTTAAAAAGTCTAATGAAAATTGAAAGATATGTGTTGACTATACCGATCTAAGGCATGTACAAAGGACAACTATCATCTTCATCAGATTGATTAATTGTTTAATGTTATCTCCGGTCATGAGCTACTCACCGTTATGGACGTGTTCTTAGAGTACAACTAAATCAAAATGGCACTAGAGGATTGTAAACATACTTCCTTTATTAGCGACTAAGGCATATATTATTACCATGTTATGTCATTCGAGTTAAAAAAAAATGTGAGGGCAATGTACCAAAGAAAGTTGAACAATATCTTTAAGTACAAGATCGAGAGAAACGTTGAAGTATATGTAAATGACATGATAGTGAAGAGCAAAACAACTGACTTGCATTTGACAGACTTAGCCAAAACATTTGAAGTCTTAAAGAAGTTAAACATGCGCCTCAATCCAACCAAATACACCTTCAGAGTCAACTTGGAAAAGTTCCTCTGATTCATCATGTGCCAGAAGGAAATAGATGCAAATCCTAAGAAGGTGCGAGCCATATTAGATATGCGCCCACCTTGGTCCGTAAAAGTGGTACAATAGTTAACAAGGTGAATAGTAGCACTCAATCGATTCTTATCCCAATCAGGTGATAGGTGCACATCTTTTTTTCGAGTATTAAAGAACCCAAATAGTTTCATATGGACAAAAGGAGTGTCAAGAGACTTTTAAAAGATTAAAGGATCACCTCATCCAACTACTGCAACTCACTTTCTCTATATCATGTGAAACTCTAAGCCTCTACCTTGCTGCAACTAACCTAATTGTGAGTTCGATTTTGTATGAGATGACTCAGGAGTTCAAAAGCTTATCTACTATGTCAATCATATTCTAAGCGAGCCTGAAGAACGATACCCCCCATATCGAGAGGCTCGCATTTGCACTAGTGTTGACGGTAGTTAAGCTTCATTCCTACTTTTAAGCACATGTTGTATAGATAATCATCGATCAACCCTCGGATAGGTCTTCTTTTGGTTTGATGTTTCAAGTAGGCTGCTAAGGTGGTCAATAGAGCTAGGATAGTTCGACATCTGATATGTTTTAAGAACTACAATAAAGGCCCAAGCACTAGTAGACTTTATTGTAGAATTAACTCTCCCTTCACTCAAGATCGACAACCACACCCCACCAGCATGAACACTATTCGTGGATGGCTTTGCTACCTCTGATGGGGGTGATGTCGAACTCATCCTTAAAGGCCCAAATAAACAAGTGTACAAACAAGTTCGCTAGTTTGGGCTCAAAATCTTCAATAGGTACTTCTCAAGGGCTCTGGCTTATTTGGGAGTTTCAAGTCCAAGACTTGATGGTGTTTAGCAACTCACAACTAGTTGTAAACTAAGTGAGAGGAAACTATGAAGTCCAAGATGCAACCAATGCAAAGCACCTCGCCAAGGTGCAGAGATCAACCCGTTATGGAGGGAGGCATAAGATAAAATGTGTATGAGGCATGCAAGTTAGGAAAACCCAACCTACATTAGAAGAAACTCGTCATGGAGAGAGGCATAAGACAAAATATGCCCAAGACACATTAGTCAAAAAAACCTAACTCGCATAAAAAAAACCCACCATGGCTAGAGGCACAAGACAAAACATACTCGAGGCTCGTGAGTTAGGAAAATCCGACATGCATTAAAAAAAACATATCACAACGAGAGGCATAAGATAAAATATACTTGAAGTGCGTGAGTTTAGAAAACTAGACCAATGTTAGAAGAAACCTACTACGGTAGAAGGCATAAGATAAAAAATGTCAAAGGTGCATGAGTTCAAAAAATCTAACCCACGTTAGAAGAAACCTACCATAGTAGGAGGCATAAGACAAAATGGCTCAAGATGTGTAAGTTAGAAAAACCCAACCCATGTTAGAAGAAACCAATAACTATGGGAGGCACAAGATAAAATGTACTCAAGGTGCGCGAGTCAAGAAAACCTGACCCACATCAAAAGAAACTCTCCACGATAGGAAGCATAAGACAAAACATGCCCGAGGTGTGCAAGTTGAAAAAACTTGACTCGAGTTAGAAGAAACATACCACAATGAGAGACACAAGACAAAATGTGCATGAGAAACACAAGTCAAGAAAACCCGACCCATGTCGAAATAAACCTACCACAACGGGAGGCACAAGACAAAATATGCTCGAGGTACATAAGTCAGAAAAATCTAACCCGCGTCAAAAGAAACCTACCATAATATGAGGCATAAGACAAAAAATATCCAAGACACGCGAATAAAAAAAAACTTGACCTATGTTAGATGAGACCCACCACAATAAGAGTTACAAGAAAAAATATGCACGAGGCATGCGAGTCGAGAAAACTTGACCCACGTCAGAATAAAACTGCTATGGTAGGAGGTACAAAACAAAATATGCAAAAGGTATGTGAATCGAAAAACCCGACCCACATTAGAGGAAACTCACCATGGTGGAAGGCACAAGACAAAATATGTCCAAGACATACGAGTTGTGAAAAGTTGACCTGCATCAAAAGAAACTCATCATGGCAAGAGGCACAAGACAAAACTTGCCTGAGACACGTGGGTCAAGAAAACCCATCACGATGGGAGGCACAAGATAAAATATGCCTGAGGTGCACGAGGTAGGAAAACCCGATCTTTATAAGAAGAAATCTGTCATGATAAGAGGCATAAAACAAAATATACTTAAGGTGTGTAAGTTAGGAAAACTTATCTTGCTTAAAAAAAAACTTACCATGATGAAAGACACAAGAAAAAACATGCCCGAAATGTGAAGGTCAAGAAACCTGACCCTCACCTCTACCCGAGGCATACAGGTCGAGAAGCTGACTCTTACATCCACTAAGTCGATAATGAATTCAAGAAGTATGAGCTTAACGTGCTGGATAAACTAGACATCGCATGTTGGACCCCACTTACAAGAGCCACGAAATACGTCTTTGGAAGAGACAAATGATAGAGAATACACAATCAACAAATTGTCATCCGATATATAACTATCATATGCTAGCGAAGGCGAACACAACAAGGTTGGCAGTGATGACCATGCTTACTTGGGCATGGAGCGTTAGGCTCACCCACAACTATTTTCGGAGGGAAATGTGACAGTGGGGGACGAGGGAGCACAAGATGAGGATGGAGTACGGCTGGCCCCGGTGGTGGATCTCCTTATTTGCCGTCTACCTCCCCCAGCAGGTGAGAGAATTCGAAGCCCTCCTCCCCTTTCTTTTTGTGCCCATCAACTGTTCGAGAAAATGCGGCTGTGAATCTTTCTAATACAGGTCCTAATAAGATTTTGATACGGCACGTGTTCTTGATCGGCATATGCCTGCCAATGTATGCGATTCACTCGAGTGACAAACCTTGGAATCTCTGGGACTCCTTCGCCACAATATCCTGCATAAGCGGAAAAGTCATCGCATACTCCGCGGATACAGAACTCTAGGAATTCGTCAGCAGGAACGAAACATTAAGCAGACAAGGTGCACCCTTGGTGCCAAACCTTGAGGAGGGGCTATGGCGGTACTCTCGCCACCCCAACCACTTGGGGGAACAGCTCTGGTGGTGGTCTCTGTTTCTGTTCGCATGGAACGTGCAAGGGTGGATTCTCATCGGCCCACTCGTGAATAGCTTGTGCTTGGCGTATGTCACGGTGCTGGTAGAGCGGCTAATGCTGAAGAAGGATTACAGGGCTGAAGCCTTCAGAGAGTACCAGAGGACGATATCTGTGCGGATTCCTTGGTTCAAGATAACCATTGAAGTTCCAAAGGCAAAGACTAGCTGATGTTGTCGTTCCTTGGGTCTTTGGTGATGTGTTCTGGATTGACATGTCTGTTTTCCTCTGTATCTTTGTCATTTAAATCCCTTTTCCTTCTTTCAAGAAATGTATGTTGCTGTAATCTACTACAGTTACTTTCTTGTTAATGTCTACATGATCATGGCAGGACTTTGAGATTTCACATGCAAAGCAGCAAACCTTCGAGAGCCTGTATAGCTTCCTATGATGAGAGAGCTGTGGACAACAAAATAATTTACGTTGAGTCAGGATCCGCAGACGAATAAATTTCTGTATATAACCTTTAGGATTCGGAACCACTCGTATTCATAAACCTTTCACGCCATCGATGTTTACAGAAATGAAGACTTTGCAACAGTGTTTATAGAAGGGTCACAGAATTTTATCAGAGCAGAAAAGAACTCAGAAACAAAGAGTACCTTCTGCTTCTTATTCTGATGCCATCTCCACTCATCAAAATTCTGTATTAAACTAGAAGTCCTCCCTCCCGGCCTCTATAAAAGGTAGTGCTTCTATAAGCCATATCATGTTTTCAAATCATGCTTGTGTAGTTTGTTTATTCTCCTTGTATCAAGTCAGAGGATCCTTGTCCTGACATTCAGAAAGTCACGAGCAGAACTACAAAAATGCAGTATATATCGAGCATGGACAATGAGTTCAAAGAATTTCAAAGTATGATCCGTTAGTCTAAAACCGATGCAGCATTTTTAGGGAATCTTTTCGCATCCCCTATTAATCACAACAAGGAACATGTTAGGACTCTAGCTTGGAGAGTCCTAATTGAGAGGGACATTCATGTAAAACCTACCTAAGCCGACCCCTATTAAAGAGGTGAAGAGGCCAGCTAGGGTTAGGAGGTTGTTTTTTAGAGAAGAATAAGGAGTTGTAAAGGAATAGGAGTCTTGAGTAGGAGTCATATTAGGAGTTGGTTAGAAGTAGGAGTCTTGAGTAGGAGTCCTATTAGGAGTTAGGGTTTAGAAGCCCTATAAATAGTCATATATTTCTCCTCTTTTCACAAGCAATAGATGAATCTTTTTTGTAGCCTTTGAGCAGCAACTTGGAGGGAGGAACCCTTATAGAGTTCCAAGGAGATCGATCCCCTAAAGAGATCAACCCCAAGTTTAGAATCTGCAAGGGTTCTAACAGAACATCAGAAGACACCTGAGATGCCTCAGGTGCGTCTCTGTTGGCATTAGCCTCTATTGTAACCCAAATAAATACTTCACTATGTAACATGACTTATATGCTCTTCAATTCTTTGCTGCAGCATTAAATACTTCACTATGTAACATGACTTATATGCTCTTCAATTCTTTGCTGCAGCATTTTGTATTCTACAATATTCCAAGTGGCACTAGTTTGTGTACACATGCATGATATGAAGATGGCTAGGTTCCTAAATCTAAATGGTTCACCATTGATGTGTGAAATTTTTGGACACTTATGATATTTGACATCCACTTCTAGGGCCTAGGTAAAAGCGATACACGTTTCAGATTTTTTTCTTTTTTCGCTTTAACATACATTATCAGGTTAAACTTAAAACAGTCTTGTGCTAATGTGATGATATATACAGAATTTTTATGATAAACTCCTCTGGTAAATAGAAAAGCTGTAAAAGACAGTGCAAGACAAGAATGAAAGGAATTTAGATCATGTAAGAAATTTAAATTATCCTACTGAACTTAAATTTACATCATGTAATGAACATGGTAGTATAATTTCTCACAAGATACTACTGAACTTAAATTTATCTTTTGCAGCTGGATATTAAATATTAAACGATAACGGGGTTTACCCTAGGACATGAATTCGACGTTACTGAGATGAAATTCCTTGTCTTTGAAGTTTTCACCCATATGTGTCAAGAAATGTTGTGTAAGATTCAAATTATAATTGTAAGATATAAAGCTTATCGATAAAGCTTGAAAATAATGCTCAGAGTGCAGCAACATATCTAACAGTATCATAAATATAAAACTAATGGCTCCGTAAAGGTTAACTAGACATGGTGACAGTGAACAATATTCTTGCAACTAAGAAGTGTAACCAATGAAATATGACACCAAATGACATTCCCCAACATCAAAAGAGACTTGTTCAGCAATGTTAGAACCACAAAGGTATGGTAACACCAGTTATAGAATTATCTTGCAACTGAGTGTACATAGTCCGAAAGAGACACAATAAAGACAACCACGATTCACATAATCTAAACATGCTTATTTAGTATAGTTAGATAACACCTGAAGAACAGTAACTGGCAGCCCATTTCTAGTGCTATGTGGATGCCTCCATGGGTCACCCTGCCCATACGGGTTAATCTTTCTATCAAACCAGCCACCTGATCAGTCTCTCCATTTCAATCTTCAACTCATCATCATGTCCCACTGACAAATTAAATCCCAACGCAGGGCCTCAATTGCACCCTGCAAGTGCACCTGATTCCAAGCTAGATACTTAACAATAATTTCAATTGTCGGCAGTTGCCTTCAAGTCTCCAACAACCAAGTAGTGCTCTGAGGATCGCTTCCTCCATATATTAGAACCAATAGCTACAACCTCATTGATATCTGATGTTGACAAGGTTCAATTGCAAAGAACTTGGGCATGATTCTGATCAAGAATGCAGATTCAGGTTGGATATTGTGTCAACATTCAGCAATATTATGTATCAATCTGGTCAACATTCAGCTATATTATGTATCAATCTATTTCTAACCTGTTTGCCTCAAAAAATTGCTTAAAAGCTACAAATCCATTCTTATCCTCGAATCCGCTTCTCAGTGCACCAATGATACTGTTCTAATGGCAAAGAATAATGTTTTGACCTGGTTTCTTATTTGGATCATTCAACCGTTGCTCACAAACTCATGGATGGTACCCAACCTTGTCCACATATAATGGTGCAAGAGGCGAGACACAATAAATCAGATGTCTGATGGATGCATCAAGAAAATTTCAAAACAAACTTTCAACTCGATCAATTAAGCAACCAATTGAAGGCTGACAGCTTTACCTGGAATCATGGAAGATGAGATTCCGTTTAAGACAAAGGGAGTAAAGGAGACAAACTTACAAACAGATTATATGTTTGTGTTCAGTTGTAAACTTCGTTGTCTGCTTTTACTTGTCTAAGCAATATAAACATGTAATCCTTTAAGAATTTTCCTATATAACCAAGAGAAGATTCGAAAATATACCTGAAAAAAAGTTCAACCAAGTGCAACCATCGACATGAGATGTCTGAAATTGAGCAATATCCAGATACTCATTTTAATGTACTCCGTAGCCATGAAGCAAAAGTGTTCGAGCTATTGCATCTCTAGCTTCATTGCATAGTTTGTCTGCATCTTTTCCATCCAAAGTTTTGTGTATTACAACTTTCACTGAACCTGAGTTTAATATGCCCTCCTTTCCAGGAGGCATAATCTTGCCAGTTCCAATAAGGGTTATGGGCACAACAGGTACACCAGCCTTTGCAGCAACACTAAATGCCCCTTTCTACAAAATCATTAATTAAGATAACTCATTGTAGAAACTCCTACTTGATCACATTCAACTACAGATGGAGCATAAAAATATCACCTTGAAAGCACCCAGCATTCCATCTTTACTTCTTGTTCCCTCTGGAAAGAAAAAAACAGATGCCCCTTTCTTCACAAATTCCATACATCGCTTGAAACAATCCTGCAACCAGTGACAACATTAAATAAAATGCACAGAAAAATACAATGCTAAGGGGAAGAACCAACAAACTGGAATTCTGTGTACAAAACACCCTTCCACTGTTTCTTTTAAATCTCACAAGTGTTAATAGAAACCAGAACAATTATAATATCTCCTGTCCCCATGGAAACACAAACAAGAAGAGTATCATAAAGGTGAAAAGATATCTAGGAATCAAAACCAGTTAGAAAAATATAACAGCAACCTATCATTAATTTTCACAGTATTCATAATAACCGATTAAAACTCAATTTAAAATCTTAGATGAATTATATACTGGAAAACACTAATTTGATGCATCTAACAGAAACTAAACCTTTTAATAAAGAACAACTCTGGAAACATTCAAAAATTCAGGAAAAAACCATTACCAACCGACTCCTGCTATCCATTCTGCGAAGAGGTATTACACCCATGAGGAACATTGCCCACCCAATGATCGGAAACAGAAAAATGCTTCTCTTGCTTATGAACTTGAAGCTCCTCCCTAGCGTCAGAAGGGTGTATATGTCCAGGAAGCTCTGGTGGTTGGAGACATAAACAGCTGGGGTGCCCTGAGGCGGCAAATTTTCCATTCCCTCGAACTCAAATTTATAGAAAGGGACGATAGTCATTGTTGCCCAAATCTTTGCAATCAAGTGATGAGCCCGGCGCCGATACCTATCAAACAGGACCACAAACGGGTGCACCACCACCATTACAGCAAACAGAAAGATCGCAGCCACAGCCGTGACAGAGTAAAAGCAAATCCCCCTGATTCTTGGCACCATTTGAAATTCTGATCAACAGCAGACCCAACCATGCGTGAGAAACTAAACTATTACAATTTTAATAATGAATTTTCTCGTATAATACATAATTGAGATGAATGAATCCGCTTGCAGTGGTCTTCATTGCATCGTGTCAAAACTATTTGTTCTTCTCTTAGAAAAGTTCAACAAATTACTTTTTTTTCCTTCAGTATCTTTATTTAAAACATATAATCGGGAAATAAGATGATTAAGAAATAAAATTTATTAGAATCAGTAACTGGTCAAAAAGCTATTGGTATCAAATATATAAGTTGATTATCTCAAAATGCACTGAGTGAAATTTTCGTTTCTTTTTGATGTTTCAATTACAACATGTAGTCAAGATGATTCAAGAAAAGCAAATGAAATAAAAGCCAACAACTGGTCAGCATTCCATGGCATCAAACCCGTAATCAATTCGCATCACAAACGATATCTCAATGACCATAAAGAATCAAACCTATCTTTTCCACTAGGTCTCTAGAACAATCAAGTCACATAAAAAGCACAAGCATAAACAAAAACCTTAAGTTACGATCTTTCTCCTACCAGAACCGGTTAGGGAGGTTGCAGCGGCATCAGCGGGACCAGAAGCAGCGATCGCCGATCTCGCGACGGTGTCCCTTTGCACCGTCGGCCGCGTCCTGATCAGAATCCCAGGCCTGGGGCAGCGGAACCTCAGGATCCGATCGACCTGGCTGTTGCTCCGACAACCAGCGACTATCAAAACTGAACAATCAGCGCAACAAGAGGCAAAGCAAAGCCAGGATTATCCACCAAGAACCGACACCGCCAAAGAATCGACGAATCAATTACATACCGGGAGAAGAGACCGCGTTCCTCGAAGCAGGCCCACAATTCAGAGGGGCGAACGAGGGGAGGGTTTTGAGCCCCAAGAGCGATCTTGTCATCGTACCCATTGCGGAATCTCCCGCTGGAGTCGGAGGCGAATGGGGGGGATGTGTCGAGGAAGAGAAGGGGAATGGCGAGTTTGTTCGAGGGAAAGCGGACGGCTTCTTATACTAACACAGCACTTTGGACCTGACGAGGGAAACGTGAATGTGCTGGAAATCGAGTCCTTATCCATTCCTGCAGGCCGTCACGTAGCAATCAGGAAATTATAATTTATCCATACACCTCGCCGAAGTCATATGTACGGATATATTTGGTGACATCCACTTAATCTGAACTTTAATTGATTGATGGGTCGAATCGATCACTAAGGCGTGGAAATGCTATGGATAGAACAATAATAAGATAGCTTCGTTCTTAGGTCAATCACGTCATTGTAGCTGTCTTTGTCACTTGGGTTGAAGAAAGCTGGTGGAAGCAACAGGAGGCTTTGAATCTGATTCCAAAGCAGCTAAAAGCTGTGGAGTGACACGAACTTGAAATCATACTCGGCATGAGATATTACTATCCAAAACATCATTTTTACTCTTTTACCTGGGAATGGAAATAGTCGCCATTTTACACGCAGGGCAACTCCCTGACGCGGTGCTGTCTTTGTCGCACCGCCGTTGGGAGACGAATCATTTCTTCTGCAAGAACCGTTCGTTCCACCATAAGCTATCACTGTCCTCGCACAAAGGACCTCAAAAACCCTAATTGGAGAAAGAACATGAAGAATTTGCTCCCATCGAATGAGATTGGACATATGATCCCTCTGGTATAAGTTTCCAAACCAATAGAACATTAGAACATCAGAAAAACAAGTCCGAGAGCGAGGAGGAAGTAGACAACCGAAGATCTGTTCATGATTTCGAGACACTCAATTGCAATGAAGGAAAAGGATGGGGCAAAATTCCACCAGTGAGAAGGACGGAGGCTTATGTACAGGGAAGAACCCCTCGGATCACCGGGCGGCGACGGGGGCGGCGCGGGAGCGGACCCGCAGGGCGTGGGGAGGCGGCGGGAGTGGGGGCGGCGGAGAGGCGAAGGGGAGGTTGCGCAAGATGAGGAGGCGGACGCGCCGGGGGAAGGGGGCGTCGTGGACCAGCTGCTCCAGCGCGTGGGACACCAACGCGGTGTACTTCTCCAGCAGCTCCGCTACAACTGCGACCAGTATCATCTCTTCTCTTTTTCTTGGATCGGAGTGCGGGATCGACGGCCGAAGGTCTCTAATACTTCTACTTCGAACACTCTGGAAATTGCTCTGACCACCGTGGTTGGATCGATTGATGAATGCCGTCATCCATATATATATGGATTGATCGAATGGATAGGATAAAAGAATCGACGCGGGCGGATGAAGGGTAAGGGTCTTACCTTCTGCACGGCGCCGACATGCTTCCAGCGTGCTACTGCCCCCTGGAAATGGAGACGGAGAAAGGAGGACAACTAAGAACCCCTACCGAGCGAGCACCCGGTTACCAAATCTGCACCCATGCCAGTTGCGGGGCCCATTCGCCCCCGACCTCCAATAGAAATGGAGGTACGAGACGGGGTATCCATTGCCTAGTAGGAAAAGGATATAGGATAGATAACCAGCTACTGTGGATGATGCACGTGGCATTTCAAGGTGGCGGTTTCGCGGTCTCTTATATTTACCGTTCATCGTCCGAAATGGACGGTCGTGATGCGGAGGCGGGGATGAATCAAGGTTGAGTTGGGATAAGGGGAGGGGGCGTCAGGCTCCGCGACGCTTACCCATATCGACCTCTCTAGAGGGATTCCAAATCTGTGGACCCCGAGAAAATTAAAAACGAAATAAAAGAGGGGTACGTTTCTGTGTGCTTAGAAGTTGCCATTTCCACCCGGACTCCGCCGATTGGATCACTTAAAGCAGTTGTTCTTCGTCGAATCTTACAATTGTTCTTGATCACTTAAAACCCAAAGGAAGAGATGGGTTTGAGTTTTGGACAATACGAATCCTTGCAATCCCTACAATGATAAAGATCACGATGGCAACCACTCAGGATGCCTATTAATGATCAAAAGACTCGAATCTTGAAGACCTTTGTAAAATATTTCTCAGGATTGACTTAAATCATGATACATGATATCAAAACTTATTTGGGACAGGCGAAATCGACCCGGCCCGGGAGATCAAAGCTGCGTGATACGTGCACAACTCATCGGCCCAATGGGTCGACTCCTCGTTAATGGTGAATGAACAGCAAGTGGGTGCACAATTTGCCCAGTGAAGTGTGCTATTTCTGGTCCATCCGACTCGTTAGAGGTGGCAAGAAGTAGGGATGCAAAAAGTGACAAGGATTACTGTGGACTCGTGCCTTCACTAGATGATAAGAGCCCAACAGCCACAGCTTGCAGAAGCTGCAGCCTTTTGCCTGCTTCCGAAGATGTCATCCAGCGAGAGGTCTGCCCTCTTCATATATATATCCGCAGTAAAACTCCTATCTCTCTTCGTTTACCGTTCTATCTCTCTCTCTCTTACATGAGAGAAGAAAGCGACCACACAGTGAGAACTCAACGGTATTTCTCAGGTTCGCAGGGAAGCGGGGTCGGATACTGCATGCACGTCACGCCCGGGCTTCCTCCGGGCATGCAGCAATGATTTTGGGGTTTCTCGCCTGCCAGCTTTGCTTCCCCCACCCTGTTTCAACCAAGACGATAGTCTCTTTCCTTCCTTCCTGTGCAGCGGCTGCTGCTCCTGTAGGAATACATGCATCCACAGGCGAATGCTGCTACGAATACACGAGGCAAGAAGGAGTCATCTGAATAAATAACAACAGAGGGGGGGGGTGGAGGAATGAGTAAGCTAGATAGGAGGAAGGTCCCCCACCACCCCAGCCTTTATCTTTAAGCCCATCCATCCCCACCTGCGTCTCTTTCTCTTTTCCGTTCACATTAACCCATGACAGACGCACCTTGCCGCAGGAGGAGGACGATGATGTAGGAGTCTAGGAGAGCTATCATGGGTTTATCTAGCGACATAGGAGACCAAGGTTGGGGACACTCCAAGTGGCACCCACCTACTTGCATGCATGCATGCTGCATCTGTAGTCCTCATCTACCAGTAGAGAAAACTCCACAACTTACTGGTCCACACTATATCTCTTCTCCCATCTCATGCATGGGTACAGCAACACCACCGAGCTGCCCCCACCCTGCAAGGAGAGCACTGCTCAACCCTCAGTTGTCACCCTCAGAGATGGGTCCCCTCTCAAGGCCAGCAATTATGGGTGGGGGGAGGAGGGGCATGTAAACGCATCACGGGGACCGGGAGAAAGGGTTGTGATTCTGATCTGGTCCAATCTGACGGTTCTGGTTGTGTCTCAGGCTGGTACATGCAATGGCAGTCCTGCTGCTGCTGCTGCTGTTGAAGGGAGGCAGAGCCACACACAGTGGGCTTAATTAGGAGTCCTGCGAGTTATATGCCTGCGTCGGAATGGAAAGCTCTCGTCCCATTCTCTTGTAGAAAGCGGCCATTTGTTTGCAGTTCCATGATAAAAGTGAATTCCCTCTTCCTTTGGATCACATAAACCGCATTTGCCATTCTGGTGGATCACATAAATGCATTAACACAATCACACACTAATAAAGTAATAAATTCGATTAAAAAATCCCTGCAGAGACATACATAAGAGCTAATGTGAGAAAGGATATATACATCACACTGTCAAATCTACTGTGCAAAATTACATATATGGCAAAATTCTAGCCAATTACTGTGCATAAAATTAACTTGTAATCCATACTGTGTTACGTTGGCAAAGCCAGTTTAGATTAATGCAACAAAGGCAATTGATTGCATTAATGTGTTGGCATAATCATTCATCCAATAAAACACATGCATAACATGCATAAGATGGAACAAGAGGCATATCTAAAAAAATGAAGATAATGGACCATTCTTTGTCCTTCAAGAACAAGGTCAACTCCTCCAAGTGATGACTGCCATCACAAGTTGTCATTCCCGATAATTCCTGATGAATATTTCCCAAGTGGTAGCTAACATTGACATTAATATAATGCAAGAAACAATCTGAACATGTACAAATTTCTCCATCAAAACAAAGTTTGGTGACAAGTAAATGCCACTCTTACTAAAGGGTTATAATACATCTTTTTCCTAACTTGGGTAAGTGTAGAGAGAACTACACAGTGGTCCATCCTCAAACAACTATATAGGCTCAGTAATTGAATCTAGCTACACTTGACAAGGGACCTACAGGTACAACTAGAGACACAGAGAATCCAAGGATCTCAATCTCATGTGCATCATGTTACTACTAAATATAACCTATTCAATCAACTATACACATCAGAAACACACTGATGACCTTAAATAAGAACACACAAATTGACCTCAATGTAGATTGAGGGAACCACTGAGAAATTCATTTTAAAAGAGGACATGAAATCATTACAAATGCCATTTGCAAATTGACACTCTTAACTCTCAAGTATATATTGGGTGATGATTATCCTATCATAATTGGTATATTTAAAAATATATTTATATTTTTAATATGTAGTTGGAGAAAGAAATTTGACGTAAGTGTAGAAAATTGTATTTCAAATATAATTATTTTATGATAAATTTGCCCTTCTAATACTTTAAATATCTATTTAAATTAAATATATTTTTTTATTTGAATTGATAAGTAAATAACATATATAATCTTATAATAAATATAAAAATAACATCTAAAAATAAATAAATAAATAAAATTTTATATTATATATAATATAAATTATATTAGTTTTTCACTAAATCATTTTGATAACCTTATAATTTTAAATAAAGTTATAAGATACTTTCAAATTAATATATATATATATATATATATATATATATATATATATATATATATATTAGCATTGCACAAATGCTGAAATACTAATGTTGTCCTGAGATAACATCAACATTTGAGTATTTTCAATGTCCTGAGATAGTATCCAAGTAAAATGCGACATGAAAAAAAATATTACGATTCATATTTCAAATATATTCTCTTATGCATCGCAACTCAAGCGATGAGCATATATAGCTGCAATAGCAACTTTGTGTTATCAACTTCTCATGTTTTTGTCCAAAATTATTTCTTATCATTTGTTTGATAGAAAAATAGATAAATTGTAAATATGTTGCTATATATCTAGAAAACTAGCGTTGAATGATCAAAAAAATTATAAAATAAATATTAGATGAGTGATGCTTTTATGAATATAAGTATTGGATACTTGAAAAATAACATATATAAAAATATTATGTCGCACGGAGAAAATTGATGTGAATATCTTAAGTTAGCGATAAAAATATTTTTATTCATAAATAATTAGATATAGCTCCAATAGATGATAAAAATGTATATAAGGTAATTAAATAAGATAAAATAATTAATATTTACAGTAATATGAGAAGTAGTAGAATATCATGACCCGAGCCTGATGGGCTAATTAGCCTATCAACTTCGTTTAATCTAAACCACTGATAAAAATACTTAAGTTGAAGTTGATAATAATACATTCATTAAACCTTTATAAGTCAATTTTAATCTTATTCACTTTCGACGTGGGACTAATCAAGGGTGTGGTAACTAGCCTATCAACTTTATTTGGTCTAAATTACTAACCAAAATGCTTAAGCTGAAGTTGATAGTAATACACTTATCATTCCCTTATAAGTCAATCTTAATCTTACCCACTTTGGGACTAAGCAGGGGTATTAGAAGCCTATCTAATCCTAAATAGTTTAGACATCGTTGTTATTGCACTTTTTATTTTTCGAATTTATTATCTCTAACAAAAAAAAATTCAATTATGGCTTAACAATCTTTTCATAAAGAAACAAAATCTGTTCTTTTTATAATCCAAATGAAAAAGAAAAATAAAAATCTGAAATGGAAACTACTATATGTGAATTGCTTCATAAAACTCGATGAAAAATCATTGCTAGAGTCAACCCAAAAGAGAGGAGGGGTAGGAAAAGTACTGGTCACGGCAGATCATTAATTGGCCATTAATATCATTAGTGAGGGAACCAAATGGACGGGAATCTTGTCTTTTACCGCTCATCAATTCCTCACACTCGTGCTCACTACAGTGAATTCTATGTGTGTGACTCTCTCACTTCAATGGCTGGCTTTGGTGGTTCTTCTTCCATGCACTTCTGACCAAGTAAACTCACTCTAGAGAAAGACAAGTGGCACCAATGCTTTGGGTCTTCTTCATCCAATAACTTGCAAGTAAACTCACTCTCGAAGACCTGCGGCTTCCGACATGCTTTGGTTCGTTCTTCTAGCGCATGGTGTTATAAGTGAGCTGAGATAATTGGATCATGTTAGTCTGAACGTGATCAGAAAAGCAATACATTGCAAACTCTCAGTTACAGCACATACACCCATGCAAAAGTTAATGCATTAACATGTCTGTCACCATTGGATGTGTTTCGAGGAATTAAGCAAGACTATTTATTTACCGTATGTAGCACTAATTGGTATGTATGAGGTATAAGCTCATCTTGACTGTGTTCTCTTCCTCTACCCATCACCTTGTCTCTATGGATTTCTTTTCTTAAGCTTTCCAACAGTAAGTGGCAAGGGGAGATATGCATCGATCATATCTACGTCGGCATCTCTTACATCAGTTTCACTATATCAACATCCTTCTTCTCGATTGAGATAAGTCAGATTATCCTATATTAACTCCTCTATTTTGGGAAGATCGAGTTCGTACTTCATGTGTGATGAAAGACGATATTTAATATGATGAGTGCCATCCTTCCATCAGGTAATATTATTCTGATTTCATAGTACAGAAAGTATAAAACTATATAACATGATTTTGTTTAATCTTAAAATCAAAGATAAAGAAATAGATTTTTGTATCACTAACATAAGATAAGATCGTGAGAGAACGAAATCAGGATATGTGAAATCTATAGTTATACATTTTGGTGATTACTCTATACCTATATATATACTCAGGCAAAACAATTGTTAAACTGGATAAGAAAATTAGACACAAATAGGACAGCAAAATCAATCTTGAAATTATTATCAAGCCAATCTTGAGCATGAATAGTATCGATCGAATTCAAGGCATGGTTGACTTACGAACAGCCACGACAAACACACTAGAAAATGACCACGTACTTCACGTAGCAAATACCATATCCACGATTTTTGTGATGCGATGATGGCATTTATTTCACGTCATATTTCATCTCACCGAGTCATTGTTCTTAGATCAACATATTTTTCTCGTGTGAGCATTGCTTTGGAATTTCCCATTTGTTTGTTTATATTAAATTCAATTGACCACAACATCCATACGTCTGTCCAACATCAGCCATAGCTTTATGTGCCGGCCTTTTCCTCTACAGTAGGACAAACATGTTACATGGTCCCCTCGAGTCTCACCATAGTGGGTGTACATCGTTGACTCCACGCATTATCATCGAGGCAAAATAAATAATGTTATCCTAGAAAAAATAGTATGAACCTTATCATTATTTTCGATTAATCTAAACTTGATTCGTGAAATTCATTCAGATGCTTATTAAACATGCTGTGTTATTTATCACAACGAAAGAAGAAAAAAAAAAGCTCGAAAAATATGTTACATCAATAAAGCATTTAAAGAAAATATCTCTCACTAAATTTATAACTACTAAAATGACACGATATAAAATAGTCTCTTCCTTAGGTTCTTTATTCTGAAATCACTACTTTATAAGATTTTGACATTCTTCGTAAACGAATGTGTATTGACTTAACTATCGAATAGGTTTCATAGGATACACCTTCGACATAAACTTTTGTAAGATATGTGATATACGATGTGAAGTACAGACAAGTTCTCCTATCAAATTTAACAGTAACATATCTAAACATATGCGAAATCAAGATTGAATAGATTGAATGAACCGAATTAGATGTGGTCGATTGAGTTCATCCCCTTCCAAGAGGTGGTGGGGGGTTTAATCTAACAATTAAATATAGAGTTGAAGTAATCTCTTCCATCAGCCAGCTAATCTCTTCTCACTGTTGTGGATGTCATCTAAATGTGAATTGAGATGGAGTAAAAATAGTAAAATATGAAAGATTCCAATGATATATATTGAATATGAGAATTAATTTAATTTAATTTTTTTTTGCATTTTAATGATGTCTAATCTTCGTATATATTATTACTCTTAGGAACTTGGCTTGCTAACATCTCGGACTCACCAAACAAGCATCATCTATTGCACTTGCTCGTTGATTTTAATGATTGGTTGCCAAATGAGTGTCGACGAAGGTTCATTGATGCATTGGCATTGACATGCAGTCATGAGATTGAGAAATGAATAAAAATTTCGCCTCTCGAGTGGCTCCATGAGTCATGCTAATTAATTATCAAAGGAGATAGACTTAATTCATGCAAATGTACAATATCTTCAATAATTTTAGAACATATATGCATATTGTTATAAGAGATTTTGATTGTCAAAGTTTTTAAAATCAATTCAAGTTCGGTATTTGATTTTTTCATAAATTTGGTATCAAAAGATTAGAGGGTTTGATACTAAATTCTACAAAGAATATGCCAAGAGCATATCTAACAAAGACCCTTCCAATACATAAGTTCAAGGTGATTGAAGGTTTTAAGAATCATAACTATATTGTATACTCAAATTATTATAGATAGTCTAAGAAGTACATTTAGAGTTTTCCTATAAGGGATTCTGACTGTCTGACACTTGGAGGTTCAGTATTTGAATTTATCACAAATTTGATGTCAGGAGATAAAAGGATTTGATAATAAATTCTGTAAAAGTTATGTCGAGAGCGTATCTAATAAAGATCCATTCGATATCTAAGTTACAAATGGTTGAAGGATTTAAGAATCATAAATATAAATATGTTGTATACTCAAATTAGTCGAGATAGTTTGAGGAGTATACTTAGGGCTTTTCTATAAGGTGGTTGATTAACCAATAGAGTTATATGGAGAGTCAATCCAAGGGCAATCGTGGAGTCATTTGTTGAATTGTCAAAGTGTTATAATTACAACATATAAATTCATGTTAGTGGAATGAGATATGGTAATTAATATATCGAGATGATCTAGGATGTAAGATGATATAAAAAAGATGTTCATATATGATACATGACGATGAGGAGAACAATAACAAGAACAAATACACACACCGAAAAGAAGTTAAAAGAAGGATCTCTCTAAAGCCATACACCATACTTTTCCTTTCAATTTTAATAATCCTTTTATTATTTATATATATATATAGTCATCTATCAATAGAATTTGCATCGCTTAACCCCGTCCACTCCCTTGTAGAGTTGATGTCACATCCTTCCCTTCTCTCACGTAGCTGTCAGAGTTCTGCGTCTTCACTAACCCTGTTTTATCTTCGACCCTTCTTATCTTCTTCCAGAAACCAAAGCTGAAGGCATCCAATTCTACATTTATCAGGATCAAAAGAAGAGAGTATATAGTGGAGTAGAGCTACTAGTCGTTCCATCTTTTCCTTTTCTTTGGTTCCTTTGGGTTGGTCAGATGGAATTTTTGCTTGAAAGAAAAGAGAGTTTCTACATCACTGACAAGGAAGAAGAGAGCTCCAAACAGCCTCCCTTCAATCCCCCCTCTTCTTCTCCTTCACTGGCATCTACTGCTTTCAAGTGGCACGATAGCTCGTCCGGTGGCGGCGGTGATTTCTCTTTCATGGAGAAGGAGCACATGTTTGACAAGGTAGTGACTCCCAGCGACGTCGGGAAGCTGAACCGGTTGGTGATCCCGAAGCAGCACGCCGAGAAGTACTTCCCGCTGGACTTGTCAGCCAGCGAGAAGGGGCTTCTGCTGAGCTTCGAGGATCGGACGGGGAAGCACTGGCGATTCCGCTACTCCTACTGGAACAGCAGCCAGAGCTACGTCATGACCAAAGGGTGGAGCCGCTTCGTCAAGGAGAAGACCCTCGGCGCCGGGGACACCGTCTCCTTCGGCCGCGGCGTCGGCGATGCTGCACGCCACCGCCTCTACATCGACTGGAAGCGTCGACCGGAGAGGCGTGGCCTAGCCCGGATCCCTTTCCCTGGGTTTTGCTTCGACCGGTCAACCGGGCCGTGGAGCGCCAGGCTCGTCGTCCCACCGGCGGTGGCGTGCGACCACACCTGGCAGGGGCGCACGTACAGCGCTGCCAACTCAGGTATCGGAGCCGGACAACTTCTACTTCCGCTGTACTTCACTTTGCCGGCCCCGAAGCCACCACAGATGGCGGTGCAACAGGTGACCAGCAGCCGAGTGCCCCTTGTTCACGACCACGCCGCCGTTAAGCGAGTTAGGCTGTTCGGAGTGAACCTAGACTGCCCTGATCGAGGAGACGACGCCAATTACCACCGCAGCGTGCGGCAGTTGCATCCGACGACTGCTCTTCCGTTCCTCCAGCCGCTGCGCGCGGAAAGCCAGACACTGCTAGCCTCATCGTCTTCCCAAATGAGCAATCAGCAGCGTTCGCCACTGGATCTTTGTTTATGAGGAAGAGAGGACGACCTCGTTTCCGTTATCCTTCTGAGCAACTATATTACGTTTGTGTGTACTCATTTATCTTCTTCTCTTACGATTGTAAGTAATTTACATGGATATAGAGATCTCCCTCTTAAGTCCTACGAGTCATTACCTCCTCGTTGAATCAACATTTGTTTGGCTATCTGCTGATTTCCTTTTCAGATCTCTCGTCTTGATCCATGTGTATGTACTATATGGATATTGAGATCATCTGCCTCCAAGCCAACTTCTTCAGCTTCATCTCCCTGAGATCAGCAGTCGACATGCCCTAAAGTGGAGGACAGACCGTCAAAGAGTCGTACAGGTCAGATCTAATTAGTACTCCTCTCATTCTTGCATGACCTTGATTAACATATATCTGCATCCTGTCACAATTCGTCTACATTTCTTGGGAGTAGAAAGCACTGTTAGGCAATCCAAGTTGTTTGAGGTATGATGAACCAGCTTCCAAAATCTTTTTGAGGGGGCAATGGATGAACAAGACAAGTACTGAATCTTTATGCAGTTCATTAAGATCATCAGATGTCGGACAGGCTTTGCTCCTGCTGCATATTTAGTTGGTTTTAAGTGTACCTTGCTCCCTATGCACAGCATGAAAGCTGTAAGCATTTGTAGCAGGTGATGTGGCGGATTGAATGTTCAGTTGAGGGTTGGGGAGAAGATCATCTACATGTTCCCATGAGATTACTGAGTTGACTTGCTTGGTTGTGGTCATCCTTATTACTTGTGCCTTCCAATTAGTTCTCATAGTTCATAAAATCTACTAAGAAGTCAAACACAACCAAGTGGCTATTGGAGTTGGAGCTTCCTATTGACAAAGTTAAACTAGAGTGTCATCTTTCAATTAAAGTGTACATGCTTCTTCTTTGTTTCCCTCTTCATAGATGCAACTTTTTCCTCTTGGCAAGAACCCAATCTAGTTCTTCACATTATGTTGACTGTGTTTCTAAGTATATCTTTGTGATTAAACTGTCCAAGTTCTACCTTTATATTACATTTATAGTTTCTTCGAATTCAAATAGTTCTCCTCCTGAGAAAATAAAATTACAAATTCCCTATAAAAACGTTTCTTTTTTTTTTTCCAATTTAGAATATATACATGCTGATCCTTTAATCAATCAAATGCATCAGTCAATCTCCTCACTGTATAGTTGCAAGCCATTCTTGTATGGATCAAGCATGAGTGACTTGGATTGTGATAATATATTACAGATTATGCACTTACTCATAGCTAGGAGTCACTGTTTTTTCTATGATTATGATGAAAATTTTGGATTAAATTTTATTTATTTTAGGCCATACCATGAAGTGGTAACATACTATTTTCATTGGAAGATGCTCTAAGTAAATGTCTCAACTTTCATATGGTGAATTCAAATTGAACCTTTTTTGGCTGATAAAATATGTATATTGTCACATGAAATGGATCAAATTGGTCTTATAGGCTAACAAAGAAATTATATGTATTAATTTTTCTAAGATAATATGCAGATTTTTTTTTCCCACAAATAGTAATTTGTATGCATGACCATATAACAACAAGACTTCTACATCATTGTTACATACATAGTAACTAAAGATCCATATGCTATCTAGTCTCAGTCTCACAGATTTTGAGCATTAGTTGCATATATCAGGGAGTTTGATACATGCTGAGAGGCATATTTGTCTTTGTCCATATGTCCATATGTACATTAAATCAAGGCATGACAATACCTGTAAGTGTCAGTGTCTTTATGTTTTCTATTTTTTATTCTGATAAAATTAATATAAAAAAAGCCTTCATCATTTAATAAGAGTTGAAATGACACATGAAAGATCAAACAAAAGATGAAACAAGAAACCTGAAAGTGTTGATCTATGTGAAACATTATATTCAGGGGGCTCTTTTCTTCTATCCCAAGGATAGAAACTAAGATTCATTCTACCCTTTGGAACTTGTAATCCAAAGTCTCGTGTGGGTAATCAACATGAGTGCAGTTTAACTGGTATAGCATGTTAGACTGATTTGAGCAAATACATGTTATTATCATCTTTTTATAGATCTTTAAGAGCATGAGAAATTGAGAGGGTTTAACGTATTGGACAAAATGTTATTCACCAACAATGTAGATGGTGAGGAACAACAGATGGTCTGGTCTGAAGCCATGTGAATGGAGTGAGCTGAAGAGATGATATGGAGAAACAAAGCCATTGCAAGAGACCTTTTCGTTTTGGATGAATCAAACAAGTGATTAATTACCGAGGCCTATTAGTCAAAAGTCTGTGGATTCCTCTCAGAGTACACACTCAGAAATAGATGGAGATTATGAAGGTGTGCAGAATCCAGAAAAGATTATTCTCACATTAGCTTTTCATAATATATGTCCACATAATGTGAAAGATCTCATTTTCATGAATAGGACTTTGACTGGAACAAAATGTTGTTGAATAATGGACTCATGATCATAATTTTCTTCCCCAAAGGGTTCACTTGATAAGAAGAGATTAGTGCAAAAAGGTCTGCTGCAATGTCTAACAATGGGGGGAGGGAGAGATCATATAATGAACTCAACAATATTGTTTGAGAAAGGAAGGAATACCAATACCAAGTGAACATGTCACAGACCTGCCATAAATTTGATCTTTAGTATTGATTCAAAGTTGCTGAACACTTCAGAATGCTATTTTCATAGAACAGCTTGTCTTTATGATAATGAATATAAAAAGCCTTCACATAAGATATCTAACTTCTAAGATCATATAGAAAGTTTATTGTTGGTAAGACAGGTTACTGTGCAGTTAGCTAAGTTCTAAGATCTTTTTTTATGAGTTACTTTAATTTGGAAATCTTCTGTTTTATTCCATTAAAAAAAAAGTGTAGTGGAAGTAAATGTTGGTGGATCTTAGCACCACATTCTACTACATATGTTAAGCAATGAAGTCAACTTAAACCATTTATGGTGCTGGAGATCATGTCATAAGGAGCTTCCATTTGGTGAACCAAATGTTCCATCTGTTTCTCTATGATCTTTTTTGTGCTCAATCCAACCCTTAGAAATGCACACATAAATCACTAGATTCTGTCTATAAATGCATGATCATCATTGGTTTAGGAGGAAGGTGTGTTTCTCACACTTGGATAACACAGCCTTCTTGTCACACTCAGTTCATATGCAGCACGTAACTTATCCACAGGTCTGGTGTTACCTCCTTCCTTCCAATGAGAACAGAGACAAGATGGTGCAGTGTGTCCTCATCTTCCTTCCATGGTGGTCCAAGTTCTAAGCTTTGGGGAGAGACGACGTGGATGAAGCCTTTTGCCATCTGTTTCCATCCTTTGGATGCGCTCCCATCGTCCACCATGAAAACGTGGCTGTAGCAGCAGTCCCTGTTGCGCCTAAATATCTCCCTTTCGGCCGATCGATTCCACCATTACCACCGCCACCGCCACCACGAGGGCCACCATGGAGAACGACCTCTCTTTCAAGTGGTGCGGGATTCTACTTATCATGTGATGACTCTCCTCACTTCTTGCATTATTGGCTGTCCACCGTTAACAGTTGATGGCAGGAAGGTGTTCGACCCAAGACCACTACCACATACCATGTTCAGAGAGCAAGGAGTTGCAGAAACGCAAGTAACACCGTAGCTCCATCGATGAAGTGGAACAAGGAAACAAATCGTGCACACAAGAGACAAAAAGAGTAAAGATGACAGTGAGAAGTTGTCAGTCAGAACTGAGAGCGCGGACCATCTCCAAAGACTTCCTCTGCCCCGTCGCCCCCACTCCATGGCATGCATTTGGTTTGCACGCCCACCGTGCCAACACCGACTGCCGCGTGCTGCATGCTGCATGCATGTCATGAGCTTCAACTGATGAGTTCCTCAGTGCTTTTGTTTGTTGCCTCGAAGAAGGAGAGGATTAAGCCCAGAGAATCTTTAGGGTTTTGGATCATAGGAAACCCCTTTTTACTGTTATCTGCTAAAGTGGCTGAGTAATTAATACTTTCTCTAAGGCTGTTGTTAGTACCACCAGGAAACCAAGGACCAGCTGCATGGCCCCAACCTATATAAAGCAAGGTCTTGGAACTTTCTTTCACTAGGTTTTCTTTCATTATAATAGCTCAGCTAAATCATTCTTCAACCTAATATTTTCCAGACATGATTGTTTTTACATGTATATCTTACTCCACAGAGAAGTGGATATACGATCAAGAAATGCTGCGGTCAATGGCTTTAGGAGATGCATGCGAAAGGTGCAATATTTGCCTCCTCTTTTCATGGTTAAAAAGAATCTCAAATAATTTACATAATTAAGATGTAATTTCATGAATCTGTGCCGATCCAATCTATATGGAGTGGATATAATTGGTAGTTTTAGCTGCATATTTCGAACACTGTTAAAAGGGACGAAATGATTTAACTCAAAAATAATCTTAAATTGACTCCAAAAGATGAGCCACCTTCTTAATTTGGGAGCCGGTTTGGGTTCGGTCAGTTTCGAATCCGGTTCGTGTACGCCGCTATATTGTACGTATACATATGGACAGCGCGTCGCGTTTACCAAACTAGGGTTGGTGTTCATCACTTGTCTGTATTCGGGTTCCCCTTCTCCGCCTCCTCGACCGCAAGAAAGGGAGGAGCAGATTGCGGCAGCATCGAGCGCCAGATTTCGTCGCCTCCCCTTTGCCAATGGATCCCTTCTCGTTGCCTTCTTCGTCGAGCGCGTTGTCGGGGCAGTCGGCCCCGTCGCCCGAGGTCCTCATGGACCAGCTCAAGTCCCAGCTTGCCCAGGCCTATGCCGAAGAGTTCTTTGAGGTAACCTCCTTGGCGCTCAAGACCTTGATTCCTTGACTGATTCAGTAGATTATACTGCTTGCTTCTGTGTTTGTTCAATTTGTTTCTCGATTTGTTTGTGACATTCGAACTTGAGATTCGATAAACCATCGTCGTCTGTGGCCGATCCATTCGATCTTTGTTTAAGTCGCCGTATTGTTCGTGTTGGTGTTAAACGAGTTTCTTTCGTCTTTTCTATTACGATTTTAGGGCCATCTTTGGAAAATCTGTTCCCCCATGATTATTAGGTTCGCTTTGATCTTTGTTATGTGGTATTATCCGTACACCACATTAATAGCTTTCTGGGTATTCTTGACAAGAGACAGATTGTTTGCACATCCATCGTCAAGTACACTTAGTTTATTGATGGATCGAACCTATGGATTATTGCATTTAATGCATGTACCCGTTTTCAATTTTTTGAAGGCTAGTTAGTAAATCTCTACCTCTACCCTAAAACTGGCCAGAGCTGAAGTCATATGTATGTGGCACATTCAGGGAATCCAAAATATCACATCTTCTGATGAAATGAAATTATGAAAATGTCTATGGCTATATCTAATCTACATTGTGAAATAAAGAAAATTTAATGAGCTTATAGGGTGACCATTAGAATGTGTTGTGTTTATTGTCTCCTGGTTGGTCTAGGGGTCGGGTTAGTTTGAGTAGCTCACCAACGATGCTCATTTCTTTTCTTAAGAGTATCCCAACATTTTATTTGTTTAAGTTTATTACAGTAGGGGCTTACCCTTAGCAATTTCCTCAGCCTTTTAAAAGCCATAAGCCACAAGAAAATATCCCTCCATGAAGAATTCCAGTGAAAACAAAATAAAAAGATGGCTTTTGTAAATAAACATCGTCATCCAGGATAGGTGTCTATCGTACAATTTGTAACTTCTATTATCTCGTTCCATGCACTGGTCAAATGTATAACCACTTACTATCTTTAGTGATTACCTCTGCTTCCAAACTTCAATCAAGCAGATTATGTGATTGGAAACTTTGAATACAACTAAACAAAAATCTTATATATGTGGTAGAATATCTTCTATTTTTAAATGCTTGTAAATTATCTTATGGCATAGTATTATATTGTCACTACTGTTATGATTGTTAAATTTAATTACAGTTTTATGGCATGTCAGTATTATCTGGTAGTATCAGTTTAAAAATTAGATATTTCTGTGTAAGTGAATAATATATGCTGGCAATCATTGCACTGGAAACAACTGATATAGCTTGATAGTAATGGTTTTAGCCATTAAAAATTGCCCAGGCAATATTCTGCAGTTCAAATGTGTCTTTTACAGTATCACTAATGCTGAGTTTGTATTGTGACTCTAATTTGTGCAATATAATCATTAGATGTATTAAAGATTATTCTCTGGCGAACTGGTCAGTGCATTGTATCTGCAAAATGTTTTTTGTCTTTAGAATGATTTGTGATTCTTTGGCTACCTCGAAGATAAACTGGATTTGTAGCACTGGTCGAGGAGGGGGTGATAAAGATAACCAATAACCTTAATCATATATATCAGTTTCATAAATGTCCGGGCAAAGCATTTGCTTTCCATCACTGAAAAAAAGCATGTTTCCTAGTAATATTTGCAAGCAAATATGCTGATATAGTTGATTTCGTTGTAAAAAAATGGAAATATACACTTCAAAACAACTTAATTAGTTCAAAAAAAAATCAGTGCCTATGTTCTCAATTTTCCACCATGAAGTTTTTTCTCTTTCAGATTTTGCATCAGGATCTTGGGGTCCGTTTATGGAACGATCTTTTGATGCAACTTTTGGTAGCCTCTCAAATGCCTTTGAGGCAGCCGCAGCCTCAGAGTACACTGAAGAGATTGTTTCCTGAGATCTTAATTCAGTCTGAATGAGTTTGACTATGGATAGTTTTGTTTGGCTATACCACTTTGTGATAAATTAAATTAATGCCTTCTAAACCAACTGCACCATCATAAATCACAGCATGCTTTACTTTGTCTCACAGAAATATGATTTAAGTTTGATGTATATTTCGTGTTTTTTCTGTTACTGTTGCCACCTTGGGCATGACCTGGCCCCACATGTGAGGAAGAGAAACAAGGTTTGGATGGGCACACAAAGTGCCAAACAACCACCACAAGGGTGAGAAGTGCATAAGTTGCAAACAACGAGCACACAGTCCTGATATGAGGTGTGCCAAACAACCACCACAAGGGTGAGAAGTGCATAAGTTGCAAACAACGAGCACACAGTCCTGATATGAGGTGTGCCAAACAACCACCACAAGGGTGAGAAGTGCATAAGTTGCAAACAATGAGCACACAGTCCTGATATGAGGAATTGAACCTTCAATCTTTTTAGAATCCATCGGGAATCATTACCACCCTTGTAACGAGATAATGACAAATTTCACTATTACTATGTTATCATGCACATGAACATAGCACCAAAAGTTAAAAGTTTGTGCAAGTTGGTTCATTCTGTACACCTTCATTGGTTGTCGTTTTGTGGCTCAATTTCATTTAAAGTTCTACTAACCATGTTTGGCTGTGTCATTGCTCATTTGTCTAAGTTAATGCGCTGCATTTGTGCTACAGACAGTAAGGAGCAAGTGCTTTGTTAGGTGCATCGCAAAGCCTGGAACAAGCTTGAGTGGAAGTGAGAGTAGTTGCATCTCACGTTGTGTGGATCGTTACATCGAGGCAACCGGTATCATTGGTCGAGCTCTTTTCAGTTCACCTCACTAGTTTTAAACTTTTCTAAGTTCAGCAGGGTTTTGAACCCCCTTGCAAGAATATGCATTCATTCTTTTCATGCGATTATTTTCGTCTTGAATCACCAGCTAGTGGTGGCTTTGGACGTGGAACTTTATATCTTGTCGCAAGTAAGAAAACAAATTTTGCAATGTTATTCCAATAACTTTCTCTCTCTGTCTTGTTTTTTTTTCTTAGTGGGAGGTTCACACAAGTGTCTTCAGAGATTGCATTTGAGATCTTTTCGTTGAAACTTTTCCAGCCTAGGCTTTGCATTTTTGCGTGTGACAAATGGTTCACATACTGACAAATGCATGTTTCAGATCAAAATGATTTGTCTATTTATGTGTGACAATGTCATATCTGTATATGGCTGTGGAATTATTGACCCTCATGAAGCCAAAAGTTAAATGGAAATTTATCTTTTGTGAGGATGATTGTACCTCGAAGGATAAATCATATAACTGGAGATGATGTGTAGTGATGATAAAGGTGGAAGCTTGTCATTTCGTTCACACATGGACATGATTTTGAAGAGAGAACAAAAAGAGGATAGAAGATTTATAAGCTTTGTCCATGATCTATTGCATCCATGCCACTCGAATCATGAGGTATCATCTTAATCGTTGCCTGTTTTGATCAAATCTTGTTATTCGTGTTTTGTCGGATGAATTATTTTAGCAAGGCCTTCGTATCTTTCCTTCGCAGAATCTCCAGCAAACCATTTATTTATATCATACTTACAAGCAACGTAAAGATACTGATGACGGTTCTATTTGCAAGGAAGAGACATTATTGCCATGCCTGAAAGCTTCGTATGAGCACTATGCATTTGCCTCCGTATACCAAAAATTTAATACGTCCATAGCTTATTGTGGACAGCGCGGAGGCATGTCAAGAAGCAGCATGCCAGATCATCTGGTGTACTTGCTGATGTGGCCACGATACCAGCAACGTAGGCCGCCATCCTGGGTCGCGTGGGATGCCTCCTCCCTCGTCGGCAAGCCATTAGCACTCGAAGAGCTTCAAGCAATGGTCGTCGTCCAGGTTCCTGCTCCAGAACTTCTTGTAGTACTCGTCGTAGGTGTAGGTCCGGTACACGGGCCGAGCCCGGTCGCCGACGAGCTTCTCCGGCGGGCTGATCACCACGCTGCTGCTGGGGCAGAGGAACGACGCCACCGATATCCTCTCCCTCTCCGAGTTGACCACCGCTCGATGCCACACGCTCCTGTACCTTCCGTTACTCAGTGCCTGCATCAACATAGTCGCGCCAATGGACAAACGTCACCTTCTTCTCGATCAATCCATGAAAAGAAGAAGCCGCTCGACAATTGGAAGAAGAAGAGGGCATCGACAAACATGATCAAGAGCAGTTGGCATCAGCTACCGCTCACCTGTTCAACTGACAGCTGATCTCATACATGGAACCAAAGCAGTCTATATCTCTTTTGAAGATGCTCAGGAGATTGTTTCGTGACAGTGGAAGACTAGTTCACAAAAGATGGAGGTCAATTGTAGGATCATAGCCACTTCCAAGATGAGCACGATGACCACGAAAGGACAGATGAGCACAAAGACCAAGCATCCATCAAGTTTACCAGGATTCCACGGCGTGCAGTACCCATTGTTTTCCAGTGTGGTCAAGAACTAATCATGTTCTTGACTCGGGGATCTGCTACCTCCCAACGTACAGTGGCTTTTAAGAATGCAAGTAAAATCAAATGCTGGTCAAAGAAGACCCACATTGGAACAAGAGATTTTGGCTTGGAAGCAGTGGCGGGCAAGGAAATGACCATGCTGACCATTGACTATAGTACCGCCCATGGTGTGAGCTTGGAAAAACCCACCTATTCTTTCAAGCCCAACGTTAGATCACAAGACTAGGAGGAAAAAGTACTCTTCGTCCATGTTCGCCAAAGGAAATAAGCATGCATGTGTTTGTGATGCTTTTACCCTTCCTCCCCCAGTTGCAGAAAGTACCCAATGGCAACAACTAAGCTTTGATCCTTAGATGGAGACGTATACCAAATGGCTGAAAGCACTAACAACAATGTTTCTTCTTTTCCATGCTTTCGACCGTATTCGTCTGACTATTTGACCATCCTCGGTAGGAAAATTAGTATTATATGTAGAGTATATTTGAAGGACAAGCAGAGCAGATCTCAACGAAGGCCAGAGTTCGTCAAAAGCATCGGTACCTGTAGTTGGTCACCGATGTTGATGACCAACGCGTCGGGTTGCGGATTGACAGCGATCCATTTGCCGTCCTTGAGAACCTGCAACCCAGCGACGTTTGGGTCCTGAAGCAGGACGGTGAGGGCGTTGGGGTCGGTGTGAGCCTGTAAGCCGTAGGTGAGCTCCGGCTCTGGGCACTTTGGGTAGTAGTTTACGGCCATATGCTGCTCCTGCTCCCCAAGCACCTTCGCCATGTAGCCTTCCTCCAGCTCAAGGCTCAGCGATATTGCTCGCAGGAGTCGAAACCCTAGTCGACGGACTTCCCTGCAGTAAGTGCTAACCACATCCCTGAGACAGAGAGAAAGGCAGAACGATTAAGTTCTTCATGACATGGAGAACGACTTGATCTATGAACAAAGCAAAGAGCTTATAATCTCTGAGCAAAGATTAAATATACCACCTATTATAGATCTGTGATGCACCCAGTAGCTTATGATCCAACTGTTTGCTTTGAACCTTTCATGTGACTTCACATGCTGTGTCTGAGCCTCTGATAGTAAATGTATGTATGCTTATCTGTCCGCTACATCTTTCATTTCCCTATCACATGATAATCGAGGACCAGAAGGGCGTTGATGAATAGTTAATAGATACAAGGTGCAAAAATGACCTACATTTGCCACCCTCAGAGAAAAAAAGAAAAGGGTTACTGTTCGTTCTTCCTTGTCTTCTCTCTCATCTTTCATCTTTGATATGTCTGCCCCTTTTGTACTTGTCAAAGAGAAGAAAAACATCGAGTATACGTTTTAGGTGAGAAGTCTCCATTTACAAGAAAGAGGGACCATTTTCTACATCTTCAACAAGTTGGAGAGGACTTTTCCTCTATGTGGATAAACATTGAAGGGGATCAGCTAGTGCTTTGAGCAGATGTGTCATTGATCGAGATATATGTCATTGGTCCTACTCCAAGATTGACAAAGAAATTCCTTATTTCAAGCTACATAATTCAAGCAGGTATCCATAATTGATTCGTCCTTCCCTTGACAGAGTCGATGTTTCATAGTAATGCATGAACAGTCGCAACATGCAAGGCTTAAACCAGGGAAAGAGGGGTCTGTTGTTGTGCTTCTCTCCTACATGCAGTCCTGAAGGTAATAATATAAAGTGAGCTCATCAGTCATCACTTGCTGCCAATAATTTGCATGGCGTGATCTCCGTGTGCAGAGTGTCTGCAGGTATTAGATGCGCATCGAATCTCAGATTTGGACCATCCTATATATGATTAGTATCTTTTGTGGGGTTTATATATCTTGGACGCATCTTCTTGTCCTATTTTTTGAGGAATAAGGTTCTCACCCTGATCTCATCTGCGAAATGTAGACGGGCAACATGACGCTGACAAAAACTGGGTGGAAGGTCTTCTCCAGCTTCCGGTCAACAAATAATAGTCTATAAAGTTCTTGACAATAGATGGAGAGAGAGAGAGAGAGAGAGAGATGGGAGTGAAATCTTGCCTAAATGAAGCGGGATTGGAAGGCCAACCAGGCACGAACTCCTCCAGCGGATAGCAATGGAGCCGCAGATAGTCTCTCCAGTTGCGGACTGTCTCCTTCTTGATGTTGAAGCTCGTCGACAGCCTCATCTTCTTTGCTGGGTCGTCCGAGTAGTGCTTCGCCTTCTCCTCGGGAGGGAGGCGGAAGAACTCCGAAGCCACTGCCATCATCTTCTGCATCGACTCCAGCGGCACTCCGTGGTTCACCACCTGTGTACGTATACGTATACATGACCACGATGATACACAGCATCATGGAGTACCTGACGACGTACCTGGAAGAAGCCGAAAGACCGGCAGGCGTCGGCGACTTGCGCTATGATTTGGAGCTCATCCTCTGAGCCGAGATCGATGGTGGGGATGTTGGCTCCTCGGATCACTTCGTTGAGGCGAGGCCTCTGCGACTCCGGGCGGACGTAACTCTCCGGGATGGAGACGTAGTCGGAGACCGCAGAGAGAAGTTGGTCTGCCATCGGACGGAGCGGGAAACGGGAGAGCGCGCGAGCGAGCGAGAGAAGGTTGTGCGAGGTCGAACGGGGAAACGCGATGCGCAGATATAAGATCCGGTGTTGACTTGGTTTCATCTAGTCGCTGTTTTATATGAGTGTGGCGTTTGTTCTCATTTGAAGTGGGACCCACATATCGTCTCACCTCTGACGTCAGGTTTGGTACGAAAGTGAGGTCACTAGCGAATACACGTCGCACGCATGCGTCATGCTTCAATCTGGAATGACGTCATGTTATTGACGTTATTTACATATAAATAACGTCATGTTATTGATGTCATGTTTATTTATTTATTTATATAAATAATGTCACGACATGTCTCCGTCTTATGTTATTGCGTTGTATCCTTTTCGTCTTTCCGTCCCTTTTATCTCATTAAAACTATAGCAAAAGAGATTATATCTATGGCCCCCATCGAACTTGATCGGATCTAACAACAAAAGTATAATCTTCATGACCTTTGTCTCAATTATTAGCTACGGACCCTTTCTTCTTTACTCAAGGTCAACGATAGAAATCATTTATGCTCTTACTATATCTCTTCCCTCTTCTCGCACAAGAATAGGTTCGATTGAGCGAAAACAATAATAAAAGGATAATGAAAGATAACGGTACAATGGTAAAGTGATATTTTTTAAATTTAAAATACTCGACAAGAATTTCTCAAAGACAAGATTTTTTTTCCAAAAAATTCACCCTATATAAATATATATATATATATATATATATAAATATATATATATATATATATGTATATA